ATAAATTCTTTCCTTAGGTTCATCTAAGCATTCAGACTGACCCTTCACCCTAGTTTCCTTAGAAGGACCCAGGTCCTACCAGCAGGGTGGCACCAGACATCAGACAGTGTTCCTCATCCCTTCCCCTTGCCTAGGGATGGCCTTCTCTCCAGTTAACAGATGCATGTAGACAAGACCCACGTTGCACACATGTTGAGGATTCTCTGGCTCAGAACAAGCCTCACAGCCTTCTGAGCCGAAGTCTCTCCTGATGGTTCTTTAAGTAGAGCTTTTGTCAACATACAACATGGGACTTACAGAAAGGAAAAGCACGATGTTTTCATCAACCCTTTATGTGAATTCAAAATCCCTGCTGATCTAGTTGAAATTTATCCATCCTAGGTCCACATCACCATGAGCAAGATTGCCTGAAAACTCTGGCCTGCTCCCACTTTTTCTGTGTCCAGGAAACCAGAGCTAAGACTTCAACAGAGGATTGGAGTCTCCTGAAGCAGGGTGAAGGGTTTGCTCAGCTTGCTGTCCACACTGTTTCTATCCTTTCTCCAAGCATCCTGGTGGCTCCATCTCTACCGTCCTCTCCTAGATAGTGCACCTCCATCTCTCACCAGGGCTCATCTCCTCACATCCACATTCGCCACCAAACCCATCCCCCTACACACACATGCTCCCTCTGGCAATCCGTATTTCACTGGACAGCCAGAGGTACTTTTTAGAACACGATGTTGATGTTATTGTCTTGTTTAACTCCTTCTTTGGTTTCCTGGTGTCTTTTGAGTGAAGCTCCTAGTCGTTTACAAATTTACAAAATCTGTCACACTCTTTTCTGCTTTCTAATCTTGAGTCACTCTGGTTTTCTCTCCACTCCTCAAACACATCGTCCTTTTTCTTTCCTGCTCTCTGAATGCTGTGTCACCCTTGTCACTTCAGCCCCTTGGCCAAGTCCATGCATCCCATTACTACCAAGCATGGCTGATGTGCTGGTGAGTTCATGAAAGCACATCGTCTACAGCAAATGATCTCTGCCTGGAGAGGAAGGCACTGGAGAAGCCTCCCCCAGCCTCCAGTCTATGTTCAGGTTCCCCATTGTGTACGCTGCCTCGGAACTAGAGCCCCTCTTCAAACCTTTTACCTGTTGGCATCCTTTTGTCAATATCCCCTGTCAAGCCCAACTATCAGCTCTAAGACAACAGATACTATTGTTATCCTGCTCCCACCGAATCTTCAGTGTTGACCAACAGTGGGTACTAAATAAATGTGTGCCAAAATAAAATAAATAGCCGGTTAACCAGACTAGAAGAATTTTCATACAAAAATATTTAGTTAGAAATTTAAAGAAGAATCTGAAGCCCAGAATAATGATGGATGCTAAGAAACCATCTTCAGAGATATTGGCTTAGAGATAAAAGTGGAAGAGACTGAGATTATTCCAGGGCAACAGTTATGCAGAAAAGACTTCCAGAAATCAATTCCAGGGAAACACTAAGATATTGGTAAGCTACTGCATGTGAGCAACAAAAAGCAATAAAGAAATAAAATTTAAAAAAACACAAGAAAAGAAATACGTTGGAAGGTATGCCTGAAGCCCAGGGCGGGTGACATTTCATGGGGATTTAGGGAGGTGTATGCTACACCTCTATGCTAAGAAGTGGTGGTCACATGGAATGAGAACTTAAATTGCCTATGATTTGGGCAACTAGTCCAACTAACC